AAAAAAAATTTAGTTTTATTATTTAAAATTTTTTTCTTTTATTTTTAAAATTGACACATTATTTTAAATCGGATATATTATTTTAAAATCCTAATTTTTTTTTTTTTTTTAAATCAGAAATATATTTTAAATTCGATATGTTCAAAATAAAGTACCAAATTTGTTCATGACTAACTCACCTTTGACTACAAAAGATGCATTAAATCCTGGGTAACCCAAAGAACTGCTGTTTGCTTTAAAAACAATGTGCATCAAACTAGTTGATGATGTTAGATTGGCAGAAAAATTGGACTGGCAATATTGTGAAATCAACTTGGCGCTCGTGTTTCCACCGTCGTACACACGAAGCACAGCATCTTTACAGTCCGGAAATCCTTTCATTTGAAAAAAGAATCTGAAATAAATGAATTAGGTGATCACTATTTCCAAACAGGCTTATTGAGAGATGAGAGAATCTAAAGGACTTGCTTAAACGTTACAAAATTAAGCACACCAAATTGCATAAGCCAAAGTTAATTAGCGACCGTTGTATGCCAAATATTTATGTTTTTATTTCTTTTCATTTTTCAATTCCCTAGCCCTTCCCCCTTTTTGTTATCATTCTACTTTGAAATGTGATATGTATAGCTGTGTGTGTGTGTGTGTATAAAACTTTTTTTTGTTGTTGCAAAACGAGAAAGTCATTACCATAACAATTACATAACAATCAGAGGCAAAGCTAGGATGAGTGCAACCTGGAGTGGCTAAATTAACTTGCATTTTTCATGAAAATATATTTTTTTTTTAAAATATATTTGATAAGCATCTATTAATAAACGATATATTTTGTTCGCACATTATGTCTGATTTTGTGATTTAAATTAAATTATTTCCCATCGTGCCTTTTAAATAAATTTTTAAAAAAATTGAAACAGCAAAAAACAAAAACTGATTTCTTTTACCTCACAGTGATGACTTCATTCCCGCCAACAAGTGTCCATGAATAATAGGAAGGTGTCGGGTATTTTACAGCATAGCCTGGATTAGCAATGGTGCCGATCATTTGGGATATGATAGAGTTGTACGCTGGTATGAAAAAAAATAGGACTTGAAAAAAGTTTCTTTCTTTTTCGATAGTTTACATATCAAAAGAAAGAAAAAAAAATAAAATTGGATAAACGGATCGTCATCACACACACCAACACACACACACACACACACACACACACACACACACACATATATATATATATATATATAAATTTGTTAAAATATGAATGCAATAACTTGGATAATATCAATGCAAAATTAAAATTCGTTTAAGGGTATTCATTCATGCTAAATGAATCTTGACGTTTGACAAACAACAAAGCACAATGTTACGTCATTATTCGTACATCGAATCTGGTAGTAACCAAGGAATCCTTTACGTGTAACAGAACCATCTGTTTTAAAGACTATATACATCGTATTCCTTGTAGATACAAGCGTTCTTGACGTCGAGTCGTTCTTGTTACATGTTTTGTGGATGATTGGTGAGCTATCATTCTCACCGTCATACAATGCAACGTAATCTAAGGAACAAGGAGACGTGTACTCAAAATCCGTCTCATATAGACTGAAATTATCAATGGAAATAATGTCAGTATACATAATTTGATTCGTTTACTGTTATTAGGATTTAGTTTTTCAATGCACAAATCCATTACAACAAAATGCTTGAAACATAATATTTTGTAAGTGTAATTAAGTTTTAAACTATAAGTTTCCACACTGTTGTAATCTTATACTTTTGGTCTTGGGTTTACATTTCATTAAATTTCTAAAAATAGAATTTATTACATCTAATTGTGCATGCCAGACACTAATTCATGCATAGTTATTTATCAATTAAATAAATGTATTGTATACCTGAATGTGATGTAGCTGTTCTGTTGCCCTCGAACACGCCAATAACTGAAGACATTATTATCGTAATTACCAGGATAGTTTGGACTAACAATCTTTCCATTTTCTGCTGTAAGTGCTGTATTGAAGTCTAGAGAGAGTAAAAGGCGAGCACTAACTTTTATTTTCATGCTTTGTAGACAGTTCATTTTCCAAGGTCTAACGATTTTTCAACGATATCGTTAACTCTAATATTTATTTATTTAGGCATTTTTATATAGCGCTTACCTTAAGGCTCTAAGCGCTTTACAATTATTAAAAGCATGTTAACCAAGTAAAATAAAAATGAGACACTATAATAGTAACTACTATATTATAGAAACAATTAAAATGGCTATAAAACGAGGACACTTTGGCACGTTTTTGCCTATAGTACAGGATCAATCAGAGACAGAAAATGAGGCAGGGCAAGAAGGGTGCATCACAGGTCATAGGCGGACCTAAACAGATGGGTTTTAAGGGACTTTTTTTAAAGAGGACGAAGTTTCACAATGACAGATATCCTTCTAGGGTGTCGATGGCATCTTTGACAATCTCATAAACATAATTCCTTTACTTTTAAATAATTACAACATGTTTTTTCTCCCATTTAAAAAAAAAATATTTTGAGATATTCTTAATATTCATTACACAGGGGTGTTCATGTACTAGTGAACTAGTGTTTCCTCTTGAACACCCTGATATCTATACAATTAGTAGTGGTGGTTACATTTACTATTCAATGCTGCATCAATTTCTCCAGTAGCTGTTCGAAACAATTTCCTTATTGTAATCTATATGCACAATTGTTGTATTACTAGATCAACGTGAGAATAGTTTCGTTCGGTCTTAAACTTTTTTTTAACATAATGGAAAGAAATGAAAAGCCGAAAATGCATCAAACAAATATGCACAATGTAGCTAATAACACGTCGGTTACTTTACCTTGAATGTAATAGCTTGCAATGAAACCTCTGTTCTCTTGAGAGCCATCAGTCTTAAAGACAATGTACATGTAGTTTCCTGTAGATTTGAATGCTCTGTAAGATGTATCGTTTCGACTACAATTTTTGTAAAGCAGAGGAGATTTGCTGCTGGCGCCATTGTAAATAGCGATGTAATCAAATTCACAGCTCGTTTGATTTTCCAAATATGTTTCAAAAACTCTGAAGGAAAAAAAAAGAGGTATGCAAATATCAACAACAACTGTATATACAACTTCTTTTCGTGGCCATTTGTATTGGGTCAGAAAATAAAATTTAGATTTATATATCATTCAAACATTAAACAGTTACTTTTATTCAACCTAAGCATTTAGTGTATGCATTGAGTTTCATAATAAGTAGCTATTGCCATCTAGATCAGACTATATCCTTCTAGACCAGACTATACACATCTGAATCAGACTATACCCATCTAGACTAGACTATACCCATCTAGACAAGACAATATCCATCTAGACAAGACTATACACATCTAGACTATAGTATACCCATCTAGACCAGACTACACCCATCTAGACTATACTATACCCATCTAGACCAGACTATACACATCTTAACTAGACTATAACCACAATGACTAGACTAAACATATCCAGGCCAGACTATACCCATCTAACGTTGTAAACAATGTGTAGTAAAAGATTGAGTATCGCCGGAGCTGTAGCGTAGCCAAGTTTTGGTCCTGGGAGATTGAACTTTTTTTCTCTTTAAAATCCCATCCAACGAATTAATCAGCTCATCAAAGATAATTGATTGTTATTACGTATGATTTTTTTTTGTTAAATTCTTGTGGAAACTTATTGACCTGGTTGTGATTATGCCAATTATTGAGTTTTAGTTTTTACCCACCAGTAATGTTGTTTTATAAATTAAAAAAAAACTATTTATGTGTTTAATCCACTTCATTAATAACTGATTTGTTTATTACTTTCAAACATATGAAAATGGATGATTCGTAGCCTTTTAAATCTCTATGCAATAAAAACATTCCCGTAGTGTCTATCTATTTCTATCCACCAAAATCACTTTTATACGTGATGCTTATACTATCTTATCGCATTTCACGTTTACAAAACAAGTTTCTTTCCCACCAAATACCCAGTTAACAATCTTGCGTCAATTTTATAACTATAGAAGATCATAGGTATGACCAGATTTTTTTAATATTATGCAAAACAAAACTAGACACATAACGCCTTGTGGATGGACTAACTACCGCAAGAGAATCATATGAATTCAAAGTCACTTTTTTGTGAAAAAAAGCTAAATAATATCGAGAAAAAGGCGGAATTCATAATGGGTATAGAAAGGGTTGGAAGTAGGTTCTGACTTAAAGACGACTTCTAAATATCCTAAAAATATGACAACACCATTTGATGTCAGATGGCTATTTGGCAGAGATAAAACCTTATCCAAACGATCGGACCATTATTTCTGGAACAGAATGATAATTACGGTCACCAACATGTCAAACATTTTTCTCATAACCCCAAAATCTGCAAGAAGGCTCTAATACCCAGTTGCCTTAAAATTGTGGAGCTGAGGTTTGATAAATACGATCAGTCCCCTTCAGACAATATAAAGTGGAGTTAATCAAATTGTTTCTGCAGCTAAGCATTTATTTCTTCAAGGACTGAGGCAGCAGATGTTTCAGTTAATCCATATGAGAGTGCCAATTAAGTAACAATATTATTTTATTCCGTTGTTTGCCGCCATAACTGTACAAACACTCCATACTCGGGCTTAATCTGAGCAGGGGTATGCTCCGACCCACTACCACGTCCTTTTCTTGGTTGTATTTATTGTTCTAAATAATCACTTATAATCTATAGACCAATAATGTAAATGTTTCTTACATATTGTCAAATTTTGATAAGTCATGGATAAAATAACATCTAATTGGATTATTTTATTAAAAAAATTAAATGTATACATATTTAAAATAAAACTGACATATCTACAACTATTTGAAAACGTTTAAAAGAAGAGTCACCCAAACGTAATGATGTTGCCTTTTGGTACACGAAATGTCCAAGTGTAGAACACGTTGCTGCTATAATTGTTGGGGTAGTTTGGGCTGACCAGATATCCCGATCCTGAGTATATGGTGGTATTAAATCCTAAAATAAACATTTAAAAGTTAAACATGTGACTCTAACATAATTGCGTTAATTTAGCTCCAGGCAGCGATAGAAAGGGATAAAGCGAGAGAGAGAGAGAGAGAGAGAGAGAGCGAGAGAGAGAGAGAGCGAGAGAGAGAGAGAGAGCAGCCATAAACATCCAGAGAAGGAGAGAGAGAACCGTTTGAACAGATCTGCACAATGATAAGAGGTAGTGGTTCCCCTGATACAATCATTGACACTGTTACATATTCTAAAACATTTATTTCCATACATTATAAAAAAAAACCAGGTGGTTTGACGTTAAAAATACGTCTAAAATTTGATATTATTATTAAAATGGTTTCATACAATGCGGTACCCCAGCCTAGGGCAAGGCTCACCGCTCTTCAAATAAAAAGTAGCAATCATGAAATTAAAAAAAAAAAAAAGTTACATAAAATTATTTATTTAAAAACAGTTTTGCAAAAAGATTAACCTTGCCCACCCATGAACAATTTACCCCTATCTAGCCACGGACGGCACACAGCATTTTCGATCATTGTTGATCGGTCAGAGGAGAGGCAGAGAATGAGACAGAATGGTAGAGTTTAAAAAGATGTGTCTTGAGTGCAGTTTTGAAGGTTTGGGTGGTCGGCATTTTACACATATGAAATGGCAGACAATTCCAAATTTTAGAAAAAGAAAGATCGCTCACCATCAGTTTTAGTACTTATCTTGGTAACAGAAACAAAAGGCGTAATGAGTTCAACGTTCTCCTAAGAGTAAGCAGGTTTGAATCCATTCCATTAATAACAATTGTAATTATGTTAGAAATAATATGTTTTTCAAACGATTGTGTTTGATTCATTACAATAATTTATTTTTTTTTGTATTCCTTTATTTAACTTTATGTTAGGCTAAACTGTTCCAACACTGCTGTAAATGTGGTACAAAGAGAAGATACAAACTGGCAATAGCCCTCTCAAACATTGCGGAGAGAACAATAAATACAAATGATTTGAATGTTAAATAGCTACTTTATTAACTTTTGTAAAGTTCCAGATACATATATGCTAAAAGAATTATGAAATATATCTCACATACAAATTTACAGATATCTAAAAAAATATATTTTACATTGTAGATGTTAGCTCACCAATTTCATAATTATCTACCCACTGAGAGTAATATTATGATATTTATAGCTAGTTTTGCATTTGATAACCTATTGATACAAATGCGTGGACATGATGATTGTAAAACATGTAAATCTGTAATAAATTACGACCAAGCGTTGTTAATTTTTTTTAGTGTAAATCGATAGATTTCTTTTTATCTATTTATAGAAATATGTGTTTTGTTTAGCTATATTTTACAGTACTACATTATTAAACCATCTATCGTGTATGTCGAAGTAATACATTTCTTAGTTTTTTAGTCAATAAGAGAGCAATGTTACATGTTTAAAAGAGGTAGCTATTTTAATTTTAAAAAAATTGAAATATATTTATATATTTATTTATTTTTTGTAATGATAGGAACGTTCAAAAAAGAGCACACCTAATGATTTCAACGAATGTTTGCTGCTAATCGAATAATTATTAGCATGCAACTAAGTTATGAAGCTATCTTGTCGTGCCTTTGAAAATGTATTGAAACTTTTTTTGCATTGCGTGTAGCGTGTACACTGTTTAATAAAAAATCTTATAATAATTTTGTTTGAATTGTAGGTAACATGTTTGAATTGAAGATAACACTGATACGATCGTAAGCTGTTGATCGCGTCTCGAATTTTCTATACTTTTTACTCTAAGAGATTTCAAGTTTTTCTTTCAGCCTCTTAATATGCCTTAGAAGACTTGTTTCATTCAATTTGCCCACTTGTTTAAATTCATAATACAGAGAAGGTTTCACTATCTTTAGTAATACTTTTACTTAATCTTTATCATACTTTCAGCAAACTTTGAAATTTCAAAATGAATTTTCTTTGAGATCTTTAAACTTGCAAAGTGAAATTTAATGGCCGTGGTTTTCTGAAATCATAAATTTAATGGCCGTGGTTTTCTGAAATCATAAATTTAATGGCCGTGGTTTTCTGAAATCATAAATTTAATGGCCGTGGTTTTCTGAAATCATAAATTTAATGGTCGTGGTTTTCTGAAATCATAAATTTAATGGTCGTGGTTTTCTGAAATCATAAATTTAATGGCCGTGGTTTTCTGAAATCATAAATTTAATGGTCGTGGTTTTCTGAAATCATAAATTTAATGGTCGTGGTTTTCTGAAATCATAAATTTAATGGCCGTGGTTTTCTGAAATCATAAATTTAATGGCCGTGGTTTTCTGAAATCATAAATTTAATGGCCGTGGTTTTCTGAAATCATAAATTTAATGGCCGTGGTTTTCTGAAATCATAAATTTAATGGCCGTGGTTTTCTGAAATCATAAATTTAATGGCCGTGGTTTTCTGAAATCATAAATTTAATGGCCGTGGTTTTCTGAAATCATAAATTTAATGGCCGTGGTTTTCTGAAATCATAAATTTAATGGCCGTGGTTTTCTGAAATCATAAATTTAATGGCCGTGGTTTTCTGAAATCATAAATTTAATGGCCGTGGTTTTCTGAAATCATAAATTTAATGGCCGTGGTTTTCTGAAATCATAAATTTAATGGTCGTGGTTTTCTGAAATCATAAATTTAATGGTCGTGGTTTTCTGAAATCATAAATTTAATGGTCGTGGTTTTCTGAAATCATAAATTTAATGGCCGTGGTTTTCTGAAATCATAAATTTAATGGCCGTGGTTTTCTGAAATCATAAATTTAATGGCCGTGGTTTTCTGAAATCATAAATTTAATGGCCGTGGTTTTCTGAAATCATAAATTTAATGGCCGTGGTTTTCTGAAATCANGTTCAGCCCCTCCCTTCACCCAAATTTTTTGCTCG